CAAAATGGTCACCTCAAACAAGTTATAACTTAGACTATATACCCAAAACACAAGGATAACGAATTGGAAAATGATTGGTACACCCTCTGGTTTAACACACTTAACAACATTCACCGATTCAGTCATTAAAATTTGTTTTTGAAAAATTTCACCGATGGGTGTTGTTAGGTGTGTTGAATCAAAAGGTGTACCAATCATTGTCCTAACGAATTTCAGGGATTTAATTTGAATGTAGCAAAGGAAAATTAGTCTTTTTTTTTCCCTTTAGTTTGTTTTACAAAGGAGGCTTTGACATATTTATAGGGCATTGCATTGCCATTGAAAATTTTGACATGCAACTTCAACATCATCTAGCATGATGTTAAATCTAAAATCGGTTTGTGAATTGCAAATTTGAGTGTGCATTTGAATTTAAATCTTCTATTTTGAGTACTTTTGTTTGGCTTTGTAATAAAAAAGAGTAGATTAGTGAAAAAAAGATTCATTGATGATCTCATAAATCTAAGATCCATGTGAAACTTAAACACTTAAATCTAATATACATGCCTATTCCAAACCTATAGAAAATAAATGCATGGATTTCAAAATGGTGATGGTTACATTTAAGCCAAGCAATGTATTTGTAAATGCTTGTATTTTCAAGATATGAAAATCAAATTTACTATCCTTTGCAAACCTAAGATTAAAATTTGAATTTAAATCTCGCTTTTTTTTTTTTTGATGGATAAATCTCGCATTTAATATTTTCTTTTTAGTGCTAATTAATCAAACTACAAAAAATATATATATATATAAGCTTATTATATGTCTGACTTTTAGGAGGCAATTAGTTGCTATAAGAAATAAAATGTAGTCCATTTGTAAGAAGATAAGTCAAAATAGAGTATTACGTTAAATAGCATAAGGAAAAGATTTTCAAAAATATAAAAATTACCATGGCATTTCCAAATATGAGGAGATTGAAGATAGTAAAAATGAAGGATAGTCCCTTAAAAAAGTTTGTCTTGTCACCACCTATAATAAATCAATTGGTCATGAAGAGTGACAAAGGTTTTTATGAAGAATAAATTTAGGGTGGATGGCATAATTTTATCATATACAATTTCGTAGGAAAGATTTAGATAAGGATAGAAAATTTACCATTTTTTTAATTTAAAGATGCAAATTTTTTGGGTTTCCAAATCAGATGATAAAATTTTATTTTATTTTTCTATTTAATGATATAAACTTTACTATTTTTTCTATTTAAGAGTAAGAATTTTGCTCTATTTCAATTAAGATTGTCATTTATCACCTCATTATTGTCATTTAATAAATCTTTAAATAGAAAAAAATACATAGTTTGTGTCCTTATTTAGAAAAAAGATGAAAATTTATCACTTATTTAGAGACCCAAAAAGTTTGTATCCTTAGAAAAAATGAGAAAGTTTATACCCTTATCTGCACATTTTCTCCAAAGTTTAGTTTAGGCCAAAAATGGGTCTGGTCAATTAAAAAGAAGTGAGTGCACAAATTGCAACTAGAAGTTAGTTGTCAAATTTTAACAAGAATATTCTATACTCTATAGGATTAGAGAACCTTAAATACATCCTTAGAAAAAGTGCTATCAATTAATTAAGAGTTTAAGATTTTAGGTTAGAGGTATAAAATTTAAAAGTTGAGATAGATGGGAAAAACTATGTGTCTCATGATGTATACATACACCACCATTCAATATATAAATATATATATATATAAATTAAAAAAAAATGCTTAGATACAAAGATAAAAAAAAGGAAGAGGCTGGATCAAAAAATTAATTATCAAAGACGCACTCAAAAAGAGAAAAAATATTGGTTAGATTCACTAGTTTTCAGGGATAAGTTAACTAGCTTGACCAAGACTTGATCCAAGAGCAATTTTTTTTTTTTTTTATTCAGCCAACAAAATGAATTTATACTAAATAGGAGTTCAAAGCCTAGTCCAACAAATCACTGTCAATAATAAATCAATTGGTCATGAAAAATGACAAAGGTTTTTGTGAAGAATCAATTTAGAGTGTATTGCAGATGATTAATTTGTTTTCCCCTACAAATGTATCCAATGATTCCATTTAATTAATTCTAAACACAAAAGGTAGTATTGTTCTTTAATCTACCATCCAATTCACAGATGCATCTCAAGTAATTATGTGCTTTACAACGAGTCAAAATGTCCAATGCCTTAGATTTCTACTTTCTCTAAGTTAAATTCTATTTTTCTTAAGTATTATTGAGTGATTATATCATTCCTATGCATCTTGCTTTTGGCCTGAACAAATACTTCGATACATATATGAATTAAACACCCAAAATGAAGATCATGCATATAAATATATAACAAAAAAGAGAAAAACATATATATTTACCAAACACTTGAAAAGAAAATGATGACTATAAAGAATGAAAATCTAAAAAGCCTAATAGCATGCAGCTAAGAAAATCATTCAGGTAGATTTCTATATGCCTCATAAAAGCATAAATTCCCAGATTCCTTCAAACACACACAGGCAACATTTATTTTAATTAGGCCAAGTACCATTGAATTTCATATACTCACTTCAACAGCATAGATACTACAAGAAATTAATGATTTCATAACTACTTTAGGCAGTCTCAAACTTTTATAGTGAAGATTGGAGGGTTTAACACAATTCCTAAAGCATATGTGATATCATACAGTATATACAAAGAAAAGGACAAAACTAGTTGGAGATTTAATTTCTACTAATTATTATGTAAATTGAAATGGTGGCAGGCTAAAAACTAGAATTACAGTTTCTAGTTCCTAGCAGCAAAGCTTTTACAAACCCTAATAGACATGTTTGAGAAAGGCCAAACGCACTCAAATGGATTTGTTCCAGCGGCAAAGCATATCATTAGGGCCATTCTTGATATAAACTTCATCAAGAGAAATGAACTCAGACAAATAGGTAAAAAAATCAATGCAAATCGTAAGATTTCCAAATGAAACTGAGGAAGTACATATATCCACCATAATGAGGATATCCCTAAAATTTATGGAAGAATCTTTGCAAAACAAAAAGGATTTTAAAACACAAGAGAGTTAAATACGATTGATTAAAGACAGAAAAGAGAAACAAAAAACCAAACTTGCAAAATCTGTTGAATGATTAACATATATAGTAAAAAGAAATAGTCAATTGAAAAGCTTTGTTAGTGTAATTAAAAAGAAGGAAAAGAAAGCAAAATGAACATACTCAGAGCATGAGAACTCATAAAGTCTTCCTTTTTGTGAGAAGATGATAACTGCAACATGACATCACAGAGAACAGAAAGCCCAAAAGCCTGCTTAAGCAGCCCATTTCGATGCTTGGAGAAGGTCAGTAGCCTGTTTGCTGCATTCTCAATCCTCTTCATCACAATTTTTCTTTTCATCATCTTCTACTTCATCATCAGGGCCACGCCAATCAATAACATTACAGGAGAATCATTTTTTTAGAAAAAATGACACAAATACTCACCAAAATTGAGCAAAGTCCCCAGATATATATTGAATAGCTACGAAGTGTGTAGCTATTACTAAAGTTTCAACCTTTGCGTAGAAATATTAAAAATTTTGAAGAGAATATAATGGCAACTCAGAGGAAGGGTTTAAAAGCTCAAAGGAAAAAGAGAAACAAGGAAAACCCAGAAAGAAAACAGCCAAAATTTTCTAGGAAAGTGAACAAGTTTCAGGCCTTTGTGCAAAGAAAACAAATTTTGAAGAGATCAGTAATAGCATCCCATAATCCTATAGAAAGGTTTCCACTTTCAAGGTGCAAAGGAAGGAGAAAAAATAAGGAAACCCCTGAGAGAAAATCACTGGAAAAAAAACAAAATTTTCGAGAAAACTAAACAGCAGCCACCCTAGAAAATTCTTGGGAACAAAGGGGGGAATCAAAGAAGGGAGAAGTTCAGAAACCCTAGACAAATGAGCAGAAACGCAGAGGATCTATTGATTCGGAAAACCACAAAAACCCTATGTCCTTAAAAATAATGAATAAAGAAAAGGGACAAGGCCAAAAAAAATTGGAAAGTAATAAAAAAAATAGTATTCCATGTCAACATCATCGTACGCTGATGTGCGCAATGGGCCAATGGTGCCTTGACAACGCATCACGTTACACCGACCAATGGTGAGAGGGGAGTACGACGGTGTCGCGCTGTCACAGGCTCGCCCTGAATGTATTGTCTAAAACTACCAGGCATTGCCGCATTGGCTTGAGAGGAAAAATTGTTCGCTCTTGTTTTTATGTAAAAATTTGAAAAGAAAATTTTTTCTTCTTCGTTCAAAAAGATAAAAAAAAAAAAATTATGTAAGTATTATTAAGTAAGAAGAGTTTAGTGAGTTAAATATTATGATTTTGAGGTTGGTGGCAGAGTTTCGGTGGAAGTTCATCACAAAAATATAAAAATAAAATTAAAAAACCATGGAACATTAAGTAAGTAATTTCTAATATGACTCTCGACTAGTATTAAAGGATGGAAAGGTTATTGCTTAATGGAGAAACTTAAGTCGCCGAAGAAGTTCCTGAAATTAAGAAAGAAGTAAATGTTTGGAGTCTTAAATTGATAATAAATTCTGAAGTGTAGGGAGGTAGTTGCGGAATTAAATCTGAAACGAGAAGGAGTACAACTTACAGGGGAGGAATGAAAGCAAGAAAAAGGATCTTTGTAGAACTATGGAGCAACTTGAGGTTAGAGGAGGATATGTAGCAACAAAAATCGAGGAAAATGTGGATGAAGGATGGCGATGCAGATACAGGCTTCTACCGCAAATGTGTAAAGGGCAGAATTAGGAAGAATGAGATTGTAAAGGTCTTAGGTTTTTTTCTCTCATCATGCAGTTGGCATTTTGATCGTAAATCCAAAAAAAAAAAAATTTAATAAGTGTTCTTATTATAAAATATGTTGTAATTTTTAAAAAAATTAAGGGTAAAATAAAAATAAATACATATAATG